AACTTCAGACTGGGGTGCCTGGTAGCTGGCTCACTCAGTTAAGTGTCTGACTTAGGCTCAGTCATGATCTCGCAGTTTTTGAGTTAGAGCTGTGCTGACAGCTCAGAGCCTGGAGCCTGCTTCAGATTCTGTGTGTGTGTCTCTCTACACCAGCTCTGCTTGTGTCCTCTCTCTTTCAAAAATAAACTTAAAATAAGAAGAAACTTCAGACTTCATAATTTATCTGGGACCTTACTGTCAATTGGGCTGTGAGAACAAAATCTGTACCACAACTTGTTTTGTCACTTTGTTATAAGCACAGTCACAGTTATGGATCTGTAACTTCTGTAGATTTGGAGGTTAATAAAAATTTAACAGTTTATTTCTTTTGAAAAGTTTAGTTCCCTTAAGAATCAGTGACCATAGTGGGCACCTGGCTGGCTCGGTCAGAAGAGCATGTAACTTTTTGTTTGTTTGTTTGTTTTTTAATTTATTTACTTATTTTGAGAGAGTACAAGTCAGGGTGAGGCAGAAAAAGAATCCCCAAGTGGAGAGCCCAAGACTAGGTTCAATCTCAGGAACCGTGAAATCATGACCAGAGCGAAAATCAAGTGTCCGATGCTTAACCAACAGCCAACCAGGCACCTAGAGCATGTAACTCTTTTTATCTGAGGGTCATGACTTTGAACCCCAAGAAGGGTATAGAGCTTACTTTAAAAAAGAAAAAAAAGCACCAGTGCCCCCCACCACATACACACACATACACACACACACACACACACACACACTCACAAGAAATCAATGACTAGGCCACCGTAATTACAATTCCTTTGCAACAGCTTTCCTATTCTTTCTACAGTATCATTTTCAACCTGGGGTGCCTACATCTTTCATTCTGCAAAGATTAAAACATAAAGTACAGATCCAAAATAAATAAACAATTCACTTAAAATAATGTTTGATTTAAGAAAAAAATTGTATTATTCAAAACTTCACAATTTACAGATAATTTTTAATAGTATTTTCAGCAAACGAGAAAAGTAAAGCTGAAGTGAAATCACTAAACTGTTGCAAAGTGTGTCAAATATTAAAAAGATAAGTATCCAACTCCACATTACTAGTCACAAAACATCAGCTCACCAAAAAGGTCCAAGAGCAGAGTTCAGAAAAGTCATATATCACTCACCCTTTTCACATCAAAAATGGCCCTATTATTTTTATTCCTTCTCAATTATTTTCATAAAAATCACTTTTGGCAAGGTAAATTATTGTAACAACTTACGCATACATTAACATATGAAAAAACAATAAAAATACCATTTTCATTTTAAACGAAAAAATATCATTTCTTTCCAAAAAAGAAAAATCATGGGCTCTGATAAGCCATTTCTATAATGTCTGTATATTTTTACTGATTAACTACAAACAATATTTGATCTACCTTTAAACCAACATGTAAACTCAATAGCCTGCCAGACCTAAACTTCATATATGAAATTATGTGCTAATATCTCAATGCTGAAACTCAAGATAGCTATTTGTACACTAGTTTCAGGATCCAAATTTTTTGTGTAAATGTCAAATGATAGATTGAGGAGCTTTTGAATCTGATTCACTTATTCATTCAGTTCAGAATGTGTCATGTGTTTCTGAGCAGTTCTCAACTAAGAGCAATTCTGCCCTGCCCCAGGGGGCATTTAGGAATGTCTGGAAACATTTCTGGTTGTCCCAACTGGGGGTCAAGGTTGCTACTGGTATCTAGTGAGTAGTGGCCAGGATGCTGTCAAATGTCTTAACAAAGCACATGAGAGCCCCCCAGGACAAAGAACCATCTATCCCAAAATGTAGACACTGCCAAGGCTGAGAAACTCTGATCTACAGAAAAGTTTATAAACACTGATCTGTCTAGAAACAGTACTCACTTCACCCTTGTTTCCTATATTATTTGCTAATGACATTCTTTTCCTACTAGATTTTGGCAACAAACCTATCCAATTCCCATCCTTTCAATTAGCTTCTAACTTCCAAACTTGTCAATTATCATCATCTCAGCCAATTTCAAAACCTTATAGTCTATGACTCACCCCTATTTTTACAATAACAGCAGTAATGGCAGCAGCTAACACATATGTAGTTCTTACCACGTATCATGCAGTACTTATATTAACCAATTTAATCTAGATACTATTATTATTAGGTGCTCTTATCCCCATTTTACAAATGGAGAATCCAAGGCACAAAAACATTAAATAGCCTCCCCAGGGTCACACATAAGCAGCAGCTGAGCCAGATTTCAAATCCAGGCAGAATGGTACCAGAGTTCATGCCCTTTATAAACATTCCAAAGTGGGGGCGCCTGGGTGGCTTAGTCGGTTAAGCGTCCGACTTTTGCTTAGGTCATGATCTCGCGGATCGTGGGTTCAAGTCCCGCGTCGGGCTCTGTGCTGACTGCCAGCTCAGAGCCTGGAGGCTGTTTCTGAGTCTGTGTCTCCCTCTCTCTCTGACCCTCCCCTGCTCATGCTGTCTCTCTCTCTCCTAGAAATAAATAAAAATATTTAAAAATAAATAAATAAATAAATATTCCAAAGTGATCTTTCATCCTCCATATTGAATCATGAAATCCTTTAAGTTCTACAAGGACAGGGACTCTTGTTATGCTCACAGAAACATCCCCAGAACCCAGTCACATAATAGGTACTCAAAAAACGTTTGTTTATTGAATGAATATCCCTCAAACTTACACCCTCACCCCATTTCCACTGCCTCCACTTAAGGCCAGTCATTCAACATTTCACATTCGGGCTTGTTGATACATTCTATGAATTAGCCAATCAGGTAAACTGGTATCAACTCCTCTGCCACATTTTCCATTACCCAGGCCCAATCAAACCTACTCAAAGCTTTCTTCACATTGCTTCAATGAGAATCATAAAATCTTAAAAGAGTCAGAAGATAGCTTAGCAATCATCCAGTCCAACATTTTGCAGATAAAGAAACCCAAAGAGGGTAAGTGACTAAGTCACACAGCCAGGTGGAGCCAGGACCAGAACCTGATTCTTGCAATTTTTGCTACAAGAGTCACTCCTGGAGGACTTGCTTCACTCCAAATGGATGTCTGCTCACTATCCCATCAACAAATCATGTTAATTCCCATTGTTCATGCTCAAGTCTTTTCTCCTCCCAGCTTGTCCTCTTTTTCTTGATCCACAGATGCAAGTCCTATCCATCCTTCAAAATCTCTTTCCGTTCCACTCTTCATGACATTCCTCCTTCTCTGAAAAGTCTGTCCTCAGTAAGGTGCTGGAGGAAGAGAATCACTGCTGCCTACTGGGCCAGGTTTAATGTGAGTAGTAATGCCTACTAACACTTCCCACAAAGCGAGGCTGCTTGGATGATCTTCCCTGAAAACTATTCATTTTTTCCTCCTGTTTCAGAAAGTGATTTGAATAAAGACTAACTCATATACAGCGCCTTCATAAAAATGTTCATATACCTGGAAGAGAAGCTGACTCACCTTTTTAATAGTAGATATGTAACATCTGAATGGCCCCAAATCATTTCTATCTCCTCCGCTGAGAAACAACTCAGCGTACTCAGAAAGTCCAAGCCCCGAGCTCTGTGATACAGCTCAGCTAGCAGCCACAGCTCCCCGGGTTCATCCCTTCTTTGCATATTGCTATGCATGCGATCATTATTTCCTCCAAAACTCCATTTCTAACCAACAGTCACATTTCTTTTTCTTCCTCCTCTTCCCTCTTTTACCCTTTATTCTTTTCTATATGCTTCCTTAGTGAAACTCCAACCTCTCATCCAACCTCAACTATGCATTCCTTGTCACATCTATCCAGTTCACATCTATCTCTTCAGTCTAAGGCCTTGTGGTAGCTCATGGTAACCCCACGAAGCTCAATTTTGCTTTCCCCCCTTCGCTACTCTTCCTTCCTCTAGAAAAGTGGTCTCAAACTGGTGTGGGTGCAGCTCAGAGGAAGTGCAAAAGGATCCACTGGGCTGCAGGGGAAAAAAAATATTATAATTCTCATTATACTTGCTTTTTCACCTCATCCTTTCTTAAATTCTATTTCTGCGTGCATTTGTGAGTTACGTAACACACTGGTACAGCAGAACAAGTCCGTATAGAATTAATAGATACATAAGTTCCTGGAGGATATGCTCTTTTACTGACGTGAGGGTATGATCAAAAGTTGGGAGACAACCATTCTAAAAATACCTGGATAAAGAGGCCAAAGTAATAGGTTCTAGACTAGGCACGGGATATATGTATGCATGTACATATGAACAAAGAAGAAAATTCTTGTTCCCATCCAAAGTCCTAACCATGACCACCAACCTCTAATCCCTGCCAGCTTTTCAGAAATGTATCCTACTCAAGAGAGCAGAAAGAACATAGGACGGTCTAGCAAAGCCCTTCGTTTCCAGTTTGCGGCGGGGGGTGGGGAGGGTGGGGAAGGTGGGGAATTCAAAAGTCCTGAGATACTACCCTTATCTTTGCCACGGTAGAGTATTTCAGGTCACTGCTCACTATTCTGACACTGCTCTTGGTGTGACTTACACGTACATATACTTTATACGCCACTGTCTCCTGAGATTCAGTTCCTATTTCCAAATCCCTTGAGGCACAACCCGTTCCCTTCGCTAACGACCGATTTACACTAACACCTACTGGGTTGAGCTCACACCTCCCAGCATCGTTCCCTCCCCTGGGGACACTATCCACCGTCTTCACCGAGCCACACAGTGTCCCAAGATAGAGGACAGTCCATCCACGGTCCCTAAGACCACTTCTCTTTCCTTCTCCGCCCCCAGGAGCTGCCAGCCAGGCTGGAGACGGCGGGGGGGAGGGGTGTGACTCGCCTCCCGTGACTGGCCCAGATGGCAGCGGATTCCGCCCCCACTCTCGGGCACCCGGCCACCCCTCGACCCCCTAGAGCTGCCTGTCTGCCTCCCACCCCGCCCCAACCCCACCCCCGGGCTCCCCAACGCCGGCTCCCAGACACACTCACCATGCTGGGTGAAGATATTGAAGCCGGCCTCTGTGGTGCGCCCCGCCAGGTCCCGCCTGCGGCCGGAGGGCCTGGCTGCACTGCTGCCCCGGATCCCGCGAGGTTGCGGCTGCTGGAGCCCCGGAGCCTCCCCGACGCGGCCCACCTGCTGCCCCATCCCTGCGCTCGCGTACTCCCGCGCCCCCGCCGACCCCAGGTCACATTCCTCCTCGGCTCCGGCCTCAGGCTCCCGGCGCTGCTCCGGCCTCTCCGGGTCCCAGTCCAGGCCCCGGCCCCGAGCTGTCGGGCCGCCGGCGGCTCCGCACGCGGACTCCTCACAGCAGCCGCTGCGCTGCCTCTCGGCGACTCACAGACTCTCCTTCTCCCTCCTCCTCCCGCGGCTCCGCGCCCCCAACGCCGCCGCTGCCGCCGCCGCCATCTTTAAACCACCGAGCACTGGGAGAGCGTGGGACAGAGCGTCTCCCGCCCCCCACCCGACCAGTCACCTCCGCTACTCGGAGGGAGGGCTTCCCGGCGGCCCCGCCCCGGCCCCGCCCCCGCCCCCGCCGCCCCCGCCTCCTCGCGGGGTGGGTCGCCCCAGAGCCCACCTCGTTGGCACGTCCACAGTTCCCTCAGGTCTTTTGGGCCGTACGTGCCTTCGCGCCACCTGGGCCTCCCAGGTCTGAATCCGCCTTAGCCGAACCCTCCCAGGTTCGGCTCCACAAACTACCGCCTTTTGGGGATGGACGGTCTGGTCTAAAGCCATCCCTGTCTCACCTCCACCTGTCAAATCGATCAGTGGCCCTGAGCGCCCCAGGTGCATGGCTCTTGAGCAGGCACAGCTGGGACAGAAAACACAGGCATTTGCTGCTTGCTATCCGGGTGAAAAATCCCTAAAACGCCCAGGAGACTCCTTTTTAACACCATTGCCAGTAGCAGGCCTGGAGTCTAAGGTTATACAAAATTTACATGAAGGTACTAAAAACGAACATTATTTTGTAGTAGATTTTTGATTATTTCATGATGTTAAATTTTACTTGCCTCCGTTGTCTGCACTTTGCAGTCTCACTAGAGAGGCAGTGTGGCCCCGCTCCTCATATTACCGTGAATTCCTCTTGAACTCCTTTACCGTCTAACCACATGTGTGTTTCTGTTACCCTTACAATGCTTGACAGTAAGGCTAATCTACCCACTGGCATGCTTTATATACCGTGCACGTGGTCAGGTCTTCTTTTGATGACAAAGGGAGGAAAAATGTTTCTCTTTGACCCTGTATCTGAATCAGAACTTACCCACCATTAACTAAAGAAGGTGACGCAAAACAGCAGTGTTTTTTTATACATGCACACACATACGTATGTATAAAATATCCCCTAATCATTCCCCCACTGCACATTCTTGCATCTTAATATTGATCCAGTTCCTTAAATTCTCAAAGAACTTGATAACTATCCTCTTACCATTCCTTTTACTTTACTTCCTTATTTCCTTGATAAAAAGTATCTGTTATGGCAGGTACCATCCTGAAAATTTGCATAAAATTAAAGCAGACCAGGTGGGAGGCATTGCAAAGAAGCGATAAAACAACCACTGGGAAGATAGGTTTGGAGGGAAAGGTGGGTGCAGCTTTCCTTATTGGAGGAACCAGGAGGTTCTTTTGGAGAACCAGGAGGACCTTAGATGAACCATCCACTGACACTGACACTACTGTAAGAGCACTATGGATAATTCCATCGCCATCCAGGGTGTAACCAGAAATAACTGAAACTGCTCCCCAAAATGGGAATGGAAACACTATGCTCTAGCACTGGATAAAATATGAATTTTCCATTTGGATCAAAGTTTTCCTTGGTTTAAAATACTTTATTTTCCCCTTTTGTTTGCAACTACTGGGGGGGAAATCATTGACACGGGATAAAGGTTATCATAGAGAGAGCCAGAATTTGGTTTGTTTGGTTTCTGCTACCTCAGAGGATTTTAATTTGAGGATAAAGGTCTGGCTTCTCTGCTAATTCGTGCACGGTACGTTATAGATGAGTATAGTGTAGTACAGTGGTTAAAGGCAGGGTCTCTGAAGCCAGACTGAGTTCAAAACTGGGCTCCAATACTTATTAGTTATTGGATCTTCGGCAAATACTTAACCTTTTGTGCACCAGTTCTTCATCGGTGAAGTGATAATAATACCTATCTTTTAGGGATGTCAGTAGAACTAAATTGGTTGACATAAAGCACTTAAAACAGCATTTGGCATTTATTAAGTGTCATATAAGCATTACTGTTAGTACCAAAAAAATGAATGTTTTCAGAAGTCCATCAGATTTTCCAACCGAACTTTTTTAAGTGGTATAACTTAGGTTATGAAACACATTCTACAGTATTTATTCAGATGACCCCCACACTTGCTGCCAGCTAAAAACAAAAACACAAATCAACCAATTAAAGCTTGTGGAATCCTATATCACTGTATTAGTCATTCCTACATGGTCTTGCACATGTACACTGTTATATAACACCTTTGTTTTGCATATGAAGATTCCTCTACTGTTGATTCTTAAGATCCTACCTAAACTAAGGCAAATATCCTGTAAGTGGAGACTTAGGATATGTGTATTTATTTTGTACATATTTGCCTTTCTTTCATTTTCAAAGTGAAATGAGAACTTTAAGAATGCGGGATGGTGATGGACTACGGAGAAACATAGTTCATTAGGTGTGGGAAATTATTTCATCTCAATATAGCAAAAGCAAAGTGACTTGCCTGACAATTACATTTAAACATTTAAAACATTTATGGGGCACCTGGGTGATTAAACCGGTTGAGCGTCTGACTTCGGCTCAGGTCATGATCTCACTGTTTGTGGGTTCAAGCCCTGCATCGGGCTCTGTGCTGACAGCTCAGAGCCTGGAGCCTGCTTTGGATTTTGTGTGTCCCTCTCTCTCTGTGCCTCCCCCACTCACGCTCTTTCTCAAAAATAAATAAACATTTTTAAAAAACTTTTTTAAACATTTAAAACAATCCCAAGTAGTACTGTAGTACCTACCATCTCAAACTGAACCAAGGGCAGCTGGGAGCTGGGGAGGGGGGGGCTGGGGGGAGCTGGGGGGAGGGAGGGGCTGGGGGAGGGGGGCTGGGGGAGGGGGGCTGGGGGGAGGGGCAAAACCAGGTAAAAAAGCAGCAGGGATGGTACATAGTAACACAAGGAGAACCTCAACCAGCCAATAGCCAGGGGCTGGCATGAAAGATCAGACAGACATATCACCAAGGCACACAGGACAGATGCTTATCATCTTTACCTTCCCTGTAATAGGAGCGATGCCACTATTTCCAGAAGCAAGGGACACGTGAGCAAGGTTTCACTGAACCCTGTCTTTACCAGTCTGCATTGCCAGACTACTGTCATATTCTCACATTGTCTTTCCTATGTACTTCTTTCTCTACAACTGTATGAACACAGTGTTCATTTAGACTCAGGTCATCTCTGCTGGATACTCCTGCTATTAGCCTATCCTCCCTAGCTTCCTCAACATCAGCACCAAGCAACTCACTAAAACAAAAACATTTCTTCCTCTAATCACTTTGCCGACTGTGCTTCTCACCACCACCCCCCTTCATTATGTACAATGTTAAAAATTTTCGCTTAATGTTTCAACATTCTTTTTCCAGGACACCCTGGATTATAATTGCTTAATGTGTATCATCTGTTATCCCTCAAACCCCCACCTCTCCTATGGCAAGCATATATGTTTTATCCAATTAGTCTTGTCACAATGTCTTCTTTCTTAGCTATGACTTTTGCAGTAATCATATTCCCCCCAATATGGCTCCCAAGTGACTTCTCTTACAGTACTCAGGAGTCTACTCAGATCCTCCTTCATAAGAGAATCTCACACTCATCCACAGAGACTTAACAGTTTCCCGGAACTCTCCTCTCTCCCTACCTAAAACTACCACAGCTGGTAACAATTATTTGCCTATGACTTTCAATTACCTTCCTCTAAGGTAATCAGACGGGGTAGGGGGTTGCAATGCTCCACTGATCCCTGTCTTTACCAGAGTGTGTTTCCAGGCTGATAAGTGTGTTTAATTTTGACATGTGGTTCAACATCACAAAGGTTTGGAAAGAACCTTAGAAGTCACCTAGGCTAATCTGAAATTCCCTCTACAGTTCCCTCCAGTGAGGGAACTCATTTATTTTGAGGAGTTCTAATTGTTGAAAAGTTCATCTGAAAGTTAAACTGACCCATGCCTCCTTGAACTTCTACCTGCTTCACCCCAGTCCTAGTTCTACACAGTAGGTGAACAGAATAAATCTTTCTTCTACACAACCGCCCTTCAAATATTTAAGACCTGTCACGTTTCCTCAAATCTTTTCTTTTACTACCTGTATACATGTGTATGCTTGTATAGTTATGTTTATTTCTGTTGATATTATCTACCTGGGCTGAAAATGTTTACACAGATAAATTGGAAGGAAAAAAATGTCATTTTATATGTAGCAATTTTTCCTTTTCTCCCCCAGCTTTAATAAGATACGCTTAACATACAACATATTTAAGTTGTACAAGGTGTTGATATACACATATATTGCACATATATATTGCAAAATGATTACCAACATAGATTTAGTTAACACTTCCATCAAGTCACACAATAACCATTTCTTTTTTGTGGTGAGAACATTTAAGATCTACTCTTTTAGCAACTTTCAAGTATATAGCACAGTATTATTTGTATAATCACCATGCTGTGCTTTAGATTACCAGAGCTTATCCCCAAACTAGATATTTCTACCCTTGGGCCAACATCTCTCCATTTCCCCCACCCCAGCACCTGCTAACCATCATTCTAGACTGTTTCTCTCTTTTTTTTTTTTAAGTTTATTTATTTATTTTGAGAGAAACAGAGAGCAAGCAGGGAAGGGACAGAGAGAGAAGGGAAGAGAAGAGACAATCCCAAGCAGGTTCTATGCTGTCAGCAGAGGGCCTGATGTAAGACTCAAGCTCACAATCCATGAGATCATGATCTGAGCCAAAACCAAGTGTGGGGCACTTAACTGACTGAGCCACCCAGGCGCCCCTCTCATCTCTATTTCTAGGAGTTTGGCTTTTTTAGATTTCACATTTAAGTGGCATACGGTATTTGTCTTTCGCTGGCTGATTCATTTCACTTTAACAATGCCCTCAAGAAAAAAAATAATAATGCCTCAAGGTCAATTTATGTTGTTGCAAATGGCAGGATTTTATTCTTTCACACGGTTGAATAATAGTCGTGTGTGTGTGTGTGTGTGTGTGTGTGTGAGAGAGAGAGAGAGAGACATCTTTTTTTACCCATTCTTTTTAAGCTGTATGTGCATGCAGTCCTTTGGATTTGTTTATGTGTGGTTTGTCTCT